AATTACCATAAAAAATACATTATTATACAATGAATTAATTTATAAATATATAATCAGATTTGATTCTCACATATGAAGTAGATAACAAATAAAGGCTTCGTTTCTCCTATGAATTTCTCGCATGTCAATATGTACATAAGTCATTTTCAAATAATAAAGAAGGAAGAAGTTTGAAAAACAGCATTTAATTGTTATCTATGAACAGTATGAAATAATAGTTTCTCCCCTTCACATTCAAATGCATTTTAAGTTTTTCAAAATTTGTGTGGACCTGTTTCCGATCTGATTACAAAATTTCAAGTTTAAATTTCTTGCACAATTGCGAGCCATGTTTTAAATATCGATGTCGATGGAAATGTCGAGATCTCAATTTCATTGAAATTGGTGTCGATTGATATTTCTTATAAATAGAAAAATAAAAAATTAGTAAAAGATATTTAAATTTGACAAATAAGCATCTCACCATTCCAAAATAAGTTAAGAGACTGATAAATATTAATATTATGTTGTTGATATTTTTCATATTTTGTCGATTTGTTTTGCAATACAATCAAAGTGTTGATTTATTCTCATGTTGATATCGAACCTATAGACATATTGAAATGTTTGACATGTCGATAGAAATTTAACGATTTGGTGTGAGGAGAGCCGGAGTCCAAATTAAAAAATGACTGCCCAACCAACATAATGAATCCAATTGATTTTTATTAATTTCATTTTCACATATCAATTTAGTTTGACTCATATTATCTTATATATCAAATCAATTGAATTTAACAGTTGTGTGTCTCTTAATCAAAAGGGTTTGTCTTCTTTGAATTGTCGTATTACTACAAAAGAATATTGTAATTCTTCCTAAACAATGGTCAAGTAGTTAATACATTATTGATTTTGTCTTATTTCTTCATAAAACAGCAAATTCTTGGATTCTTTCCTTGTTTTGATGCTACTATTTACATTAGCTAATTTATACTTTTTGTTAACTGGCACATGTTGTATATATTTTTTTCGATTAAATAATACTTGTTTATTTAGGTTTTTGTAATTTCAGCTTTTATCCTATACTTTCAAAACTTTCATTTTGGTTTCTACACTTTTAAAAAGTTGCCGTTTTGGTTCTTTTATTTTCTTTTTTATCTTAGTTTTTTAGATAATTTCAACACGACACTATACTTAATAAATTTTTAAAAAATATAGTCATAGTCTCCTTGTGTATAGAATTTGTGTTAAAATTTTAACTCGTGGGCTAAAATGGTGTTACTTTTCAAAAGTAGACTAAAACGATGGTTTCGAAAGTAGAACTAAAATCAACAAAATTTGAAAATAAAGATGCCAAAATGAATCAAAAAGTGAAAAGTAGGTGACTAAAATAGTATTTAAACCTTTTTTTTGGACATGGCAATTTGAAAGCATATAAATACAAATAAAAATTTTTGTTTATTTTTGTAAGTTGGCAAAGATAATTCCATCAACTACTTAGAAAGGAATAGTAACAACTATTGACAAAAAATTTACCAAAAACTTGTAGAAACTTCTGGGATTAGTTTTAATTCAAGCCAAACAAATTTACCAATAGAAAGCAAGGTGACATGAAATGGGAATTTGAATTTGAAAAGGAAATAAAAAAGTTTCTTGAAAAAAGAAAAGAAAGTGGTTTAGGATGGTGTGTTTGGTGACCAATGTGTTGGTGTTTAGTGGTTGGTTTTATTAGATAAAATGATTAAGAAAAAGTGATTATTCAAATGCTTTGATTGAAAGTAGTTTGAAATTTTTAGGGTTTCCAATGAGTTTGATGTTTGTTTAGGTAAATGCTATGCTCACAATTCACAATGGACAGATGCTACAACAATCAACAAACACCAAAAAGTTACACAAGCTGCCAAAAGAAAATCAATCAATAGGTTCATTCAGAACTGGAGTTTGAAAATTGTTATCTAGCTAGGTTCAATTCCAAAGAAAGGTTTCAACAAATACTACTTACAAAAAATATATTATAATGTTATCTATATCTACCCGATGTTTCTTTCGGTATCAGCGTTTATTAGTCTATCTAGCTATATCTGTTAGATCAAGTTGACTCAACTAAAATTGATATAAAAGGCATGTCATGTCATAAAGGTACTAACAACAAGGATTAAATAGAAGCATAATCTGCCAAAGCGAAGCAGCAGTAATGAGGTTGTGAGTTCAATTCCCACTCCACATGCATGTTGTACTAAAAAAATAAAAAATAAAGAAGCATATTCTAAAATTTAAAGACGAAATAAAAACTTTTTAAGGGCTGGAAACTAAAATGATATAATGTGATCTATTAGATGTTCCTTTCAGCACTTCGACCTAATATGCTTATTAGCCTAATCTGCCTATATCAGACCAATTCAACCAAAATTTATGTAACGGTCATGCCATAAAGGTATTAATGGTAAGGACTAAAATTTTCTATAAAAAAATTGGCAAGAACTAAATACAAATTTAATCTAAAATTTAAAAACAAAATAAAAGCCTTTTAAGGTTTAGAAACTAAAATACTTTACAAGGATTGAATTTATAATTTAACCTAACTTTAGTCTATAAATATTGTTTGGCACTAATCCTTTAAAAATTGTATAAAATGGTATTAATTTAACCTAATCTAACTTGAAATTTGTTTAATCGTTTTACATAGCATAGGAAATGAAGCTATATGTGAAATAATACTAAAGTATTATTTCTTCGCCATTAAATCGACAAAATACGATTCAAATAGATTAAGAGAAGCTTAGGTCCACTGTGGATGGAATTTTCTTTAAAGTAAATGGCTCTTTTTTTTAAAGTAAAATATACGAGGAGTCGAAAATAAATATCTTAACTAGTTGAATATATGAATGACTATCATGATCTCATTTATTTGGTATACATATTAATTTTAAAATATTTATGATTATATTTGAGCAATTTATTTAAAAGGAAAAAAAAAACATGGAAGAAGACACGTGAAAACAACAAACTAGTGTCCCTATTTTCAATTGTTTATTTATACCATGAAGACTGTTTCAAAATCTATCCTACCAAATTATTTTTTTAACATTATTTTAAATATGGTTTCAATTTTCAAACATGCTCTACAATCTTTAAAGGTTTAAAGATTATTTTGATTTTTTACTTTGTTCATACACTTTTCAAATGTTATTTTTTGCTATACTTTCAATGTTTATTTATTTTAGTTTTTTTATTTTCAAAACGCTTGTTTTGATCTTGTACTTTTAAAACGACCATTTTGATCCATATATTTTAAATTTTAACACAAATTGATATATAATGAAAACTCTTTAATACAAATTTATAGCTACATTTTAATAAATTTAGCGTGTAAAGTATAGTGCTAAAATTTGTATCAAAGTAATGAGATAAAAATGAAAATGGATGACCAAAATGATAACTTCTAAAGTACATGAGAAAAACGAGCGTTTCGAAAGTATGATAACTACCAAAATGAACGGAAGTAGAGAGACCAAACTAAGTACCTAAACTAGTTCTTAATTTTTCAAAAAAACAATAAATAAAAGGAAAAATAAAAATTTACTTTACTGTGGTTTATGGTTGTCTTGTGTTTTGGATTTTTGCTGGCAGATTTGCTTTTCTAATTAAAGTTTGAAACAATTAATTGTGGAGTGACTCAAAAGGGTAATATAAAAAATGATCAAAGAAGACAAAAGAGCTGAAATAAGAAGGGCATATTTGGAAATGAAAAGTAGGTATAAGTTATAACTATAGCAAGGTCGGCCTTTTTTTTGTCCTCATAGCAAAATCCCTAATTTTTAGGTTTTGGAGAGCTCTGTTTGGTTGGTTTTCCCTTTCAAACTTTTTTTTGTGGCTCACAAACTTTCAAACACATACCAACAAAACAAATTTCCCCTAATCTTTCTTTCCAACTTTTCTTCAGTTGCTTGAAAATCCACTCACCAAATAGATTTTCAACCCAAATGGATTTCCCAATTTGCACATTTTTCGGATCTCCATGTTCTCCGATTCATAGGGTTGGATAGCGACTTGAGTTCATATGGAGTTCAGGTACCAAATTACTGTTAAACTCAAAAGTTTAAGCTAATAGATTCATAGGAGTTTGAGCTCCAAAACTTCCTACTACTCTGATACCAAATTTTCATCAAATCCTCGGGTTTAATTTAATGGATTAAGATAGATCTAATCTTTTTCTCTGTACTCGAAATGAGACAAAAATAACATTATTGGAGTTTAAACTTGAGACTCCCTTTTGATATATCTTCTCTAGTTCTTGGAACAAAAAAATAAACATAATAAATTGAGTCGGGATTCTAAATTACCCTCAAACCTTAAATTTTAATATGATAGATTAAGATAGACCTAATATTTTTCAAACGATTCTTAACCTTATTCACACATGAGCTCAAGTACTAGCACAAACTTCATCATTGAACTATTAATATGAAATGAGACAAAAATAACAACATAGAAGTTTGAACTTGAGACTTCAACTCTGATCATATAATATAATCACCATAAACGCATATATGCATAAAACCAGTCTCTGATATAATATAATCACCATAGACTCATAAGTGTAAAACTTGTGCGTGGGGCAAGTTTAATCTTTTCTACATATTCTCGACACTTTTCCTGAACGTAAACTTGGTTCTAGGTTTTCAGTGCCGTAAAGAAAGAAGAAGAACCTAGTTTGTTAACATTGGGGACATGTGGGACAACCATTTATACGAAGAGCAAGAATAGTCACTAATTTGACTTGTGTGATGACTTGTAAAGTTTATGAGGTGATGAAAGTCTGATTGGTCTGTGATAAAAGTTTTTTTTTTCCTTTCCCTCCTTGCCAAACTCATAAGAGAAAGAAAAGAATAAAAAGAAAACAGAATCATCATCATGTGTTATACTTTATTGGTTGTTGACCATGTGGGTTTAGCTAAGAGACAGCTAAGATAACAAAATGGTTGCACATAGAGCACCTGCTACAGTAAGGGACAGAAACATTTTGGATGAGTAAAAAGAATAATATCTTCAAATCATTTGACATCAGAATGTTATTTGTTTTTTGCATATACAATGAATTTTTTCTGTATCAGTGAACCAATTCCAGCTGCTAAAATGACCCCACTCAATCACAGCCTACAGAACTATCCTCTCAACTTACATCAGAATATTTGTGTGTTCCAATTGCACAATAATACAATGCAAAAATTATAGGTATAAAGAAAAATTTGTACCTTTGGAGACCCAAAAAAATCTGTATGTCCAAAAGATCAATCGAGGTTCTTCATGTTTGGTACTTTGCACATGCAATCCGGCATGGGAAATGTGTACAACGATCCACTGGACTTCTTCATTTCCATTCCTTTTTGATCGTTGTGGCGAAGCATATCTTGCATTTGTTGTGTGAAGTCTTCCCATCTGTATGCAAGTTTGTTACCAAATATAAACAGAAAAAGGTCGGTATAACTAGCAAGATACAACCTCAGTGAACTACTAAATGAAATAATGCAGTAGTGTTCCGTCATTCGGTTCCCTTCTTCCAGTTGAAGTATCTAGAAGAGGTTAAACTTACCGTAACCCATTAACTTAAGCTTTTGAGTTAATTAGAAGTTTAACATCGTATCTATGTTCCAATCCCTATAATGTCATTTTCTCCCCCATTTAATAGGACTAAAGTAAATCTATAAGCCCACAAGTGAGAGAGAGTGTTAAAGTATCTCTAAAATATTAAATTTTCGATAATTCGTCCGCTTAAGATTTTGAGCGGATGAGTTCATTGGTAGTTTAACATAAACTACATGAAATCATATATGGGAACCATTGCGAATGTTCCTTGCTATCCAAGGATATTGTGGTTGACGACGAAGCAGTGTCATATATCAATAGATAAGATTATGCATTCAGGATCCAATTCTTATTTAAAAAATACAAACAGGCAAGACACGACATAACCCAGTAGCATGTGAAGAGAGGTTAATAAATTCTAAGTTTCAAGTAATCCAAAATGCAGATCTTTAAGTTACGAAGCTTAATTGAACCAATTTTATCCTAAATAATGAAGCACAGACATTCAAGTTTCAACAAATGAAAACTAAAATATTGAAGTGAGTAAAGCTTCGGCATACCGTATATTAGGATCATCAAAAATTAATGCTAGTTTCCTCTTATCAGGTTTGACTGTCTTTGCGTGCCCATCGTAAATATAGCGTCTGTGACCCGTCAAGAAGTGGGGGAAATTCCCACCTTGAGTTGTGACGAATACTTCACTACGAAGACATACGGTGTAATCAAGAGCAGCCAATCTAGAAGAGTGGCCCTGCATCACAGACTTACTTTGAGCTAAATGATCAACTTGTTTGTAAGATAAAACTAGGAATAGTTTCATTAAATACCTTAAATGGAGCAAGTTCTTCCTTAGTAGCTATAGAATCTTTCGTTTCTAAACCCGGAAACATCTGCCTAAGTGGAGCCATATACTTCTCAGCTTTATAAATTTTTCCTGCTGCAACATATATGGAAGTTGTGTTATCAAAACCCATTCCTCTAAGCATCATTCCGACCTACAATATCATATAAAGGTGAATTATGAATCAGCAGAATGGAAAAACAGGTTTTAAGGATATGGGAACATTATATTTATGGCCCAGATATGCATGAATCTCTCCGCAGGACCAAAAACTTCCTTTCCAATTGATGAAAATACAAAACATTATGAAATGACAATGGCCAAGGCAGACAAATTTAACAATAAGTAATTTATCAACAAAAAAGGGTCAAAAAATAAAGGAAACTTGCAATTAGGGACCAAAAAGAATTAATAAGTGAACTTGCAATTTATCAATAAAAAATAAAGGGATGAGAAAGGGAGAAGAGCAAGTGTTAAAAATATCTCCAATTAGCGGTAGTAAATAATGAAGGGTAAATCTTTACAACATTCTGAAGCAACATAAACATGTACATAAAATAGCAATAATTGATGGCACAAATAAACTCTCCAACAATATACTTGGCACTTTCATTCAAAACAGATCAGCCACTAGCAAAGATTGTTTTCTACTGCCACGAAGAAGAATGATCCAGAAATCTTGCTTCTAAAATAGCAGGATGGTTTGCAATTTAGTAAACATTTAACTGATAATGTCATGTTTCTAAACCTTTATTAAATTCCAGTTCACATTTTTGTCTTTGGAACTATTTCCAATTTTCATTAAGTGTGAAATGTGTTTCAGTGGAAACTTGGGCCAAATCTTTGAACACATAAAGTTACTAAAATATTTAAGGATGATTATTCCAATTCATCTGTTGGTTAATGTTTTGAACGACCAATGATCAACATGTCCATTTTGTGATGTCCTTAAGTACAACATACACACTTCATTCTAAAAAATCTATTTCAGATAATTGAGAATAGATGCTTCATTAAACAAAGGAAAAGATGATGACGTCCAGGTATATTCACCTCAAGTGGAGTTAAAGGACATTTTCCATCCACTCTATTAGCACCAGGCCTTATTACTCTACCCCTTCTTCTGAATTTTCCTCTCCAGCTCCTTTCTCTAGCCAGGTCCATCTCATTCTTCTCTTCTTCTCCACCATCATATTCACAGCACGAAAATGCAACCATATCCTTTATAAACAGAACATTTACTTTTATTCATAACTTACATTTAACAAGAAATTTAGTAATCATGAATTGGAAGGAAAGAAAGAAACCATGAATAACACCTCTTCAAAACGAAGATGCACAGAAACATATTTTCCTCCACTCTGAGAGCTTTTTTTAATCATTCGATCAACCATGAGATCTGCCAGCGTTCTTATAGATTCTGCGAACCTCAACGCTTCAAAATTGGCTAAGCATCTAAGTGCTTGAACATCTGAAGGAACTCCATGAGCCAACCGGTTGGAGAATGGGGCAATCCTAACAGCCCTACATCACAGAATGAGAAGTGATTCTTGTCATCATCTTAAAACTGTTGGAATCTACAAGTTTTGCAAAAAAACTGTTGAAATCTAAAATCTACAAGATTTGCAATTAAATATACATTTGATGAACGTTATCAAACTGGATGGGGGCCACCGGAGATCTAAAACGAGGGGAAAGTTCTTCTCAAACCAAAATCTAAAAACATGTTCATACCTTTGGAGAAACTATTTTAAGATAAGGAAAACATACCTCAATTGCAAAAGCTTGGGAAGGACTTTATGCAAATAGTACATTGGGCTTGACCATGCTTTTACTCTTAAGTTCACAATACTGCTTATATTATTATCAAACTGCTGCAGTACATCAGCTGGGAGCTCTCGCACAATATTAACATGCTTGCTGAGTGCTTGTATGAAAAATTCTTCATCGAAAATATCACCAAAATTGCTGTCACAAACAGGAAAGAAAGGAAACTGCATGAATGGTTTCTGCCCTTCTGGAATTTTGGAAGAAAGCAAAATGCACTTGCTTCTGTCATTTGACATAAAGTAACTATCCATGGCACCTTGGCACCAGGGGCAAACACCATGCCCTATGCCAAACGAGGCTCCTCATTAAATAAAGCTCTCTTATAATTCAATTTACCAACTGATTTGACATGGTATCTGATGTAAAACTAATTTTCAGCTGACAGAATCACTATGTTTTTGGACATGGAAACTTTAGAAACAAACACCTTTTGCCTTAAAACTTCAACCTAGGAAGCATGGATGATCCATTTTGAGTTATCGTTGCCGGTGTGGAGAATGCTTTACACACATTTTAAATAACGTGATTTGGAGTCTCTGATTGTTCAATTTATTTTTTAGATCTCAGAGATGTCGGGGACATGTAAGAGGTACATGCTTAGAAGTTAGGACACACTGAAGACACGTGGACACATTTTTCAGAAAATATGTAGAAAAAATACTAAAGATATTTAGTTATAAACCAAGACTAGGAATACTTACATCAAGGAACTGAGATATAAATGAATAAAAACCTATAGAAACTAAAATCTAAATGGGTGAAAATATAATAGATAGCACTTGGTAGAACTTAATGTAATGGTATTAAAAGATGTGATAATCATGATGTTTGAGATGCAAGTTCTTCTTTTGTTTGAAAGACTTCTATAGGAAACTTCACTTCGTCGTCATTGGAAAATACTATGTCCAAGCAGATGTACAAAATCAAATCTAAATAGTTGATGATGCAAGTATATATCTTAAATTATTTTGTATCATACAGTTCAACATATTAGAAAAATAAGTGTGAAAGTAATCAATGAAATCTCGTTTCTTGTTCAAGAAAAGAAAAATAAGCATAAAAGTATACAAAATAATTTTTTAAAAGAAATTGAACCTGTCCCTATGATCTTCACGTCCTAATTTACTGAAAAGTTCCCCTCAAAATGATTTCAAGAAAGAGAACAAAAAATAAGTTGACAGATTTTGGAAAAGTCAAGTTCTTTCTCCAATTCACTAACGAACTCCTGGAAAAGAAAAAAAGAGGAGGAAAAAGAGGAACACACTACCAACCGAAGTCAATCAAGTTAGAAATCATTAATATCTTTAATTTTAATATGAGAGACTTATAATGTTTATTTTAATATAAGAAAGTCATGATGTATTGTTTCCTATGAAAGAAAATTCATTTTTTATTTAATATAAGAAAGTAATCTTTGTTAACTTGCAATGATCTGGATTCTAGGAATAATAGAAAAAAAAAAAAAGAGAACCACATTAAGACTGGCAAAACAAGTAACAATCTGAAAACAGAAACGAGAAAAAGAAGAAAAACGGTAATAACTAGATAAACAAGAGTGATAGATCATGGTTCAGTAATGAATTGAAAAGCAATACTGATAAGGTCATAAATTGTATTTTCCATTGAGAATTGAACCAATTTAAAGAACAATCAAGGACGGAGACAATTATAACTAGTTAAGCTATGATATTTGGATTTTAACCTTGAATCTCGCCAAACACTATTCAAATGAAATATTGGAATGACAAGGGAAGCATTCAGAAGTCCAGCCACTGCAACTGCATCACATATCTGGATTGAAAAGTTGGAGTTATAAAATCAATTATCAATTATTTAGACCAAAAATAAATGAATAAATTGATAAGTGTTAAATCACCATTGAACCCAAAAGCTTAAAGCGGTAAATTTAACCTTTTATAATACTTTAACAATAAGATATTCAGATCGTGGCACTAGCAACCTACATCCCCTAATCTCTTTCTCTGCCCACCTCTCTATGAACATAAAGGAAATCGTCTTATCCATAGGAGCCAACATTGAGAGTGAACCAATAACATGATATCACTGAGAATTACAGTATAAGTGATGCTATTAAATGAAAACAAGACCAGATTTCTTCCTATTCTTGAATCCACAATTCAATAATAGCACTTCAGACTTCATTTACATTGGAAAAAACTACATCGCTCATCTTAAAAACAGTTCATAAATTTTCCACAAATTAATTAAAAGTTTAGTACCATTTCCTGATAACCGGACATTTCAACCATTACATTAAGACAAATCAGATGTTATCAAAAAAATCAGAATTAGTTTGTACGATCAGGGGTGTGAGGCAAGAAACCTTGGGATTAGGAACTTGGATAGCAGCAACATTTCCTTTTTGTCCAAAGTTTTGAATCGTTCTCCGTATAATTGAACATTTGGAGCATTACATTAGGATAAATTAGATACTATCACAAAAATCAGAATTAGCTAGTATGGTCAGAGTGTGTGAGGCGAGAGACCTTGGAATTAGGAACTTGACTAGCAACAAAATTGCTTTTTTGTCCATTGTGATCATGCCTCATGGCATTTTTTTTAGAGCCTAATTCTTTGTCGCACTCAATCATTTTAAGTATAGGCGTCATTCCAATAGTTCGGATTTGAGGATAGCAATTGGTGATACTTGTCTCGTTTCCTCAATTTCATTCGTCCCAAGATTGGGGATGGTAGTCTTTTGTTTTGGGAGGACCATTGGTTAGGGGATGGTCCTTTTTGTTCCTGCTTTCTGCATCACCATGCTCTTATCCTTTGTTGAGAATATCCCAATTGCATCTTTGTTGTCCCCTTTCATTTCTATCTTTTATCTTCTTTTCTTCTTTCTTTTTTCTCGAGGGGAAGGGGGCATTTGTAAGAGTTCTTAGATAGCTAAGCCTATTAACTAGGTTTCTCAATAATTAGAGATGATCGAGTTTAGTCTCTTGAATTTTCTGGGTTTGCCATTGCAAGTCCTTTTTCTCTTGGTATTTTTCACAAATTAGCCCCCCACCCTTTACAACAAAGTTGTGGAAGGTTAGAATGCTGGAGAAAATGTAAGGTTTTTGCTTTGGTGATTGTTTTAAGGATGGATTAAAAAGAGTGGACTTCATTAAGGGGTCTCTTCTATATTGGCCTCTTTTCCATAAGTGCTTTTTTTGCACAGAGGGTTTGAAGGATTAGAACCACATCTTTGGATCTTTGTGGTCGTTTACAGTTGCTTTAGCCCCTAGCTGTGATCTATGCTTGACTTTTGAGGAAGGGGAAGAGGGTGCATCATCCAATCCAAAACCAATCCAGTGAAAAATGAAGAATATGCATCATCCTTTGTTAGTCCAAACCACAACAAAATCAGCTATCTTCCTATTGACAACTGTTGACAATTTGGCATAAACAGAACTACGGGTAAATTGAGACAGTTAAAGAACATTTCAATTTTCAACGCATCAAGAAATCATGAAAGATGTTTGTTAACTAAATGAAGTATGAACTTCAAAAAAAAAAAATTAAATTTGTCCTAGTTAAAGTAATGAATAAAGGGATTAATAAACTGGTCAAATAGAGAGCACCACATGCCATCCAGTCTTGGCACATATCATGGTACCATCATTTTTTTCCCTTCATAGTCTGTGCCACGTTGACATTACATAAAACCTTAATTTTTTAATCATGAACTTAAACTCACCGACAACCTTTGCTGATTTAACCCACCATTGGCTTCAATGATAAGAAAACCATTCGACTTTGGCAACTCTGCAAATTAAAAGGAAAAAAATGTTGACATTTTTGTAATGCCTTCACAGAGAAAAGAAGCTAATTAATGAAGAGGTAATTACAAGGAGTGAATAATAAAGGGGTTGTTTGGAAGTTGGGTTCAAAAAAAATTTAACTAAAAAAGAAAAACTAATGTAAACGTATTTGGGAACTGTTTTTCACAAGTTGTCTTGTGGCCTACTTTTAAGAACAGCTGAAGTTGACATTCCTTACAAAATCACATGTTTGAGATAAATGAATTTCATCGACCTTTACAAGTCACCATCCAATCCAAAACAAACTGTCACACAGCCCTCCTTACAAGTCTGGAGGAATTGGAGGAAGAAATCCAAAAGCATGAATATGGGGAGTGATGATAAAAATGCTTTGAATCTAATTGCTGAAACAATGCAAAAGCTAAGCTATTTGATGTAGTCTATAAACAATTAAAGCTGACATAGTTGTTCTTAGTTCAGCATGTCATATCAAGTTTTTTGAAGCGTGAGGTACACTAAAACAAAATAGCTCTCTGGGACTTGAAGTGTCTTTTCTTGTCAAGCATAGAATAGAAAATTAAATAATTTTTTTTATATATGAAATAGTAGTATTATGATAAGATAATGAAATGTTTTTAAGAGATTAGAAATTTTATAAGAGATCTATAAGAAAAATGAGAGTTCTTGTAACATGTATTGTAATTTTTTAATCAAAAAATTATTTTAAAAAGAACAGTAAGACAGCAGCGCATGACTCAGTAGAAGCAAGGCATCCTAGAAAGCTTTTCTCTTCAGCACACCTAGACATGATTTTAAAATACTAACGTCTTGCAATACCGCATATCATCAAGTATCACAGTTCACATACAGCAAGAGACCACATGCATCATATAATATATTGATATTGGATGTCAATATCTTAGGTATAATAAGAGTTCATTAGTCATTGTCCTTTATTGTAAATTTGTGATTTTATATTTCATTCATGTCCTCCACACACCCGCACATACCTTTGTCTGTCTATATATATATATTGTTAAATTATATTTATTATCTTTTAATTTCCTATTGTATTTAGGTTTTAATAGGTTAGGCTTTTCTTAGGTAAGTATTTCTTTATCATAATAGGCAACGGTTTCGTTTTCTTTTCTTCTTTGTAGCTACTATTTATAGCCTTGCATTAAATCTTTGAAAGTAGGATTTGGAGTTTGAATCACTAATTTGGAAGTGCCAACCGATTGAAACCGCAAGTACCAAGAGCAACGCCACACTAAGATAACCAATGTGCACTATCTGGCCACCAGAAGACTGGTGCATGAAGCTCACGTACTGCCATAAGCTACTGACTGCCATCTATTGCGGTTTGGATTGTTTGCTTGTCCTCTCAGATCTGTGTGCTTTCTTCGGCCAAAATTCTACTGGGTGTAGAACTGTCTCAAAGAGGATTAGTATTTTTTAATCCCGTTCAGACCTGAACTTAGCAGTTCTACAGCTCCATTCTAGTTCCATTTTGTGCATTCAAAACAGATTTAAAGTTCCATGAACCATTTTTTATATTATGATTGAGAAGAAGCCAGTTGCGATAGCCTGGCCTTCAAGCCAAAACTACAATGAATAAAAAGATAGAAGGTAGATTCATTCTTTCTCCCTGCACATGACACAAATTTGGGAGGAGAGTTGAATATTTGAATTCCTCTTTTGAACCTTATCTAAGATGTTAATGCTGTTGGGGTAACAAATAACAATTGAGCTTTTTCAGACAATTGCCATGCCATATAGCTGACTCAAGGATTCTATTCTCTTCATGAAGAGCTAGAGTGGCAGAATCCTTGAGTCAGATTATCATATTCACGAAAAACAATACATGAGACGTGGAGAAGTGAATTTCAGGAACAGAACTAATTTAAACTATGTAACTTTAGAACTTATTACTAAGTAATAAGAAGTTTCATACCTTCCATAGTGCTTCTACTGATACATGGCTTCCAAACATGGTGCACTCTCGAAGTCCATGCAGTTGACAACTGCACAACCATTAATGAATTTTCATTCGCTCAACCTCTATAAGAATTCTAAACAGAAAATATCAACAAAGCAGAGCAGATGCACAGATGATGGATTCAAAAAAATTTCCATATTGCTAAAATGAAAATCAGAAAATACTTAATTTATATCTAGATAAAAGGATAATGCAAAATTTAACTTATTTTATTAATTGGTGATAAAATTTTTACATATATGTCATAAAGAGGAGTGAGTTGATACGAGTAGGAGGGGGGGACTAGGTGGTATTTAAAGTTTTGGGTTGGATAATTTCCTTTTCTTCTTGTCTTGATACTAGTAAAGTTGGCTGAAGAATTCTGATTTTGATTGTGGCTGTGGGTTCATCAGGGTTCTCTCCTTATTTCGGTTTCTGGTTTGAGGAATCTGGTTGTGGGCAGTTTGCCTTTGGTTTCACGGATAATTGCTCCTTGGTTTCTGGTAGGCCCCCGATTATAAAGAAATATGTTAGGAAGAAGGGTAAGAAGGGGGAATAGGGGAAGAGAGCATATTATCTTGTGGGCCCAAGTTAGTTAGAGGGCATTTTGGGAGTGAAATGAGTTTGTTATATATCCTGCTGCTAGATGGAGGATGGAGGGTGGAGTATATTTTTGGTAGGTTATTTCCTTGTTAAGGATTTGTAGGAGAGGTTAGGAAGCTCTCGAATTTCCCTCTACCTGTAAATTTCCCTCTATTCCATAAATAATAGAAGCAGATCCTATCAAGGCAGCTGGAAGGTGTTATCAAAAGTTATCTTGGACCCTCTATTCCATAAATAATAGAATCAGATCCTATCAAGGCAGCTGGAAGGTGTTATCAAAAGTTATCTTGGACCTTTCAATGGACATTTTTTTATCAGTTCTTGCCAGTTGCCAGTCAATCGGACTCTCTAGCCTCTTTCAACAATTTGTTACCATTAGTTTATATTGGAAAAATCAAGCACTTCTTCTAATGATGGGATCTTGAATAGGTTCAGGTCTGTCATTGTTGCAGACGTTCTTTAGATTGTTCAACTTGTTAGAAGGTTGTCAAGTTTTGCTTTCTTTGGGTCCTGTGGTAGAGATCATTGGCAGTTTTTAAGTTGGCTTCTTCCTTAACAAGATGGGTAACTTTGTTTTATTTATATGTTGCATTGTGGGTTGTCGTAATTTTTGTATTTTGGGAGTAGCTTTGTTTAGGTTGGTTCTCTTTTATATTAAGTGTTTTTTCTCAACCATCGTGCTTGTACTTTTCCTTTTTATCAATAAAAGTATTGCTTCCTTGTCCAAAAAAAAAGGACCTAAATTAGAAAGGCGAGGAAGCATTGCCAGTCCAATGATGCACCCAAAATCAGCTGCTGAGATTAATTGTTAAGGTGGAAGAAAGAAGAAAAGGGGCACACTTCTGCATTTACATTGGTAGGGAACAGATTTTCTGGTCAGAAAGGACTTTAGTGGATCTTCTCCAAAGGAAAACGATCCACCCAATATCAAATGAGTCTCACCTTACAACTTTACATGATGAAGAAGTGTAGTAGACAGACGCCTAGGGATAGCTTCACACAGGTTCTTGAGAGTGCCATTAACAACTAACCAAAGCATGCCAACCATTAGGGTGATAGTTCTTCTATCAAAATTATGGTTTGAAAGAAACCAAAGGATTTTTTATGAAAAAATAAGATTTACCATGGACTGTTTCAATATGACCAAGTCCAAATCTTAACAATGGTGTGCTTTTTCCAACTCTTTTTATGCTTACCATGATCTGTTATAATTGGGAAGCTTTCATTTGAAAGTTGCAATTGTTCTTTTGTTCTTTTATTTTTGCTGTCTTTTTACTTCTTTCTTTATTTACTTCTTTTTTCTTTTCCTTTCTATCTCCCTCCCTTGGGAGTTTGTATCTTTGAACAATTTTTGTTCCTTTTCATATTTTCAATGAAAAGTTCATATCTTGTTCGAAAAAACCATTAGGGTGATGCTTGTAATTCAATCAATAACCTTATGCCACGACATATAGGTTACAACAAGAAACATCACACCTACTTAGTCAAGAGAGCTTCATTTTTCAAGTCAAATTCCTAATTACAATCCTCCAACTTCAATTTAAGGGAGATTATTCCCTCTCTTTAACTTCTAGCTAAACAGTAACCTACATATTCTAGATCATCTCGTCTCCTAATAGTGCACCAAGCTTGATTTCCCTTAAAAAAAATGTCTCTAAATATCTACTTGATCCAAACATGGAGCTTCCTTTTTTCAATTGTCAGCTTTACCATAAATTAAAAACTTGGCCAACCTTCCAACATGACATGAGCCTCTTCCTACCACTCTTTGATGTTATGAGAAAAGGAAGGATGTCAAGTCCACATAATTTCAAGAAACACCATTCGTTTTACACAAAAATAAAAAATAAAAAGTTGTTGTTTTCTTTCCTAATTTAATATAGCACATAAAAGAATATCATAGTTGACATTCCACCCAAGATCAAATAAGGTATATCAGCATTCAGTATGCTCGTGAAGCCCTTCATCATCTCTTTATGTATTGTCCTCTTTTCAGTTGTGGAATTAACTTCTGAATTGTTGTAGGCTATCCTTTTCCTGTGACTTATTGTTGGATGGGACTTCTGGGGACCATGTTATTTAGGGAGAAAGGAAAACCTTGTGGAACTTTTTCTACAAATGGCATCAATTTGGGACATCCACCACACATTTTTTTCTGTACACAGTTTTTCAGTTTTGCACTCCAAAGCATTTAATCTTTTGCCTTCCCATCTATATCCTTCATGCAGACACCCTTTTAGAGATCATGAGCGTCTTACTATTTCTAAATTGTGTACTTGAGAAGCTTTCAGAAAAGATGAACTTTATATAGCTAAAAATTGACGCAAGCATATTCCATGACAGATTAAACCATCAACTAAAGTTTGTAGATGATGGAAACCAAAAGGCTCAAAACTGAGTTTTGGATTTCACACCAGAAGATAAAGTTTTTTTAAGTTTACAGATGTTTTTCACAGCCTCCAATACTAAATCATAATAGCAAGTTCTTAAGTTTATGGATGTGTTCCACAGCCTGTAATACTAAAGCATAAGAGCCAGATACCAGAAAACAAAAGAACAAGGAAATCAAGACCCAACAACTGGGAAAAAGAAATGAATAAAGTAGATCTAAGGAACAGTGATTTTGTTACCAATGAACACAAACAAAGGATTCGAACTTAATAAATCACAATGCAGAGGACTCCCAGGGTTGCTATTTGATAATAATTGGCAACAGAATCATTATAGTTAGTTAGATAGTCAACAAACAGCATCCAAACTACTGCTTATTAAGGTCAAGAGAGGTGAATAAGTGAAAACGATTGTTTGTCATGATTACATGGCAAGAATAAACAAAGATTGAAACATGAAGACATTGTTAAGGTCAAGTGGTATGATATGTTGATCCCAGGGAATCTTAAATCGTGGTTAAGTTGCCACTAGAAGATAGAACGTACTTGATACACATGATATAAAAGACCAAACTCCCCACTTTGAATCTATGGATTCTCTTATCATTACTATTCATAGAAACAAGATAATCACATCAAATACTGGAGGAAAGGAAAAAGGGAAAGAAGAAATTCACCACAAAGTAATTTTCAGTCAATTTTCTAACAAAAAAGTAGCAACAGAAGATGAGGAGAAAAATACCGCATGAGTGGTACCGTTTCGGCTCTCAGCTTTCATGTAAGGCCAGAGCTTCTCAAAAACCTGAGGACTCCTATACACAGAACCCGGCGGAGCGCGTTTGTTAACTGAAACTACCCTGCTTTTCAGACTGGAAATATCGAAATTTAACGAGCCCATATACAACAACATCCCCGATATGTACAACAAAGGGGCGAACAGAAGTAGCCCTTTTCTTCTAAACACCGCCGACAAAATCAGGTAAACCAATTTCTCCATAATGGTGCTCTGCTTCACGTCGCGAACACTAAAACCGCCGGCACCACCGCCACTCCTACTCCTTAGTTGGCGGTGCCGAGGCGAGGAGGGCGGCGACTGCGAGCCACTGGAACGCGAAGTGTAGGAGCGGTTGTAGCCATGCATTGTGGCAATGGACAAGGCTAGGGCTTAAACGTGGGACTCAATTCTCAAACATACAGAAGATCTGGCGTGAAGTCTGCTTCGCAGAGATCGGAGATTCAGCTCATGGAATCGAATCTTCATTCTTTTCCTCAAAATAGCTGGGAGTTCCTCAATTTTCACCCTCATATAATGCAATTTCCATATGACGCATCGTTGAATTGGGACTTGTGAGAAATTGAAGGGTCAGAGGTGAAGATCCAGAGAGTTGGTTCCCTGCATGGCGTAACTGGTTTCTATAATGGGAGAAAAATTTTCTCGAGAAACAAACAGGGGGACAGGAATCATAAATTGGAGTGGGAAGAGCAGGTCTAGAGCTGGGATTGTTGGGACTGTTGACAGTTAAATGCGAAGCCGAAGCCTTTTCCATTTTCTGTAATAAAAGATTTTAAAATTTTTGTTTTTATTTCAAACCTTTTCACTGTCAACTTTTTTTTTTCCTTTTTTTAAATGATGTCAACTTTTGAAAATTGCTTAAACATGCAAATAAAATAAAATAAAATAAAGAATTGGCTACTTAATAAGTGATGCCATCTCGTTGTCCTCACATTGATAATTAAACACGAAAAAATTTTAAATGTAGAATTTAAAAATTATTACTAATGAGCTGTTAATTTTTTAATGGTGGTTAAGATAAATATAAGTTTGAAAATAGAAATTTTAAAAAATGATGAGGAGTCAATTTTTCATTTGGGGTTAGAATATATATAGGTTCTGACAGATAAGGAACGAATTATTTTTCAAGGAAAAGGAAAATATTTAGCTTCTTACGAGTTTAGACCTATCTCATTGTGACCACTATTTGGAGTAATCCAACTTTTGTTGACCACCATTAAATTTTTTCAATTATAAATTTTGATATATTTTTATAACTTTTTAACTAAAAAACTATCAAATTTTTATTTTATGGTTAGTACGAAGATGAGTGTTATTCGATGAACACCTAAATATTGTTCATTAAAATATATAAAGTTGGTGTCTTTGTATTTTCACTTGTAATCACTTAGATGGGCCTAAAGTAATATCATTATGTTCGAGTGTAAGTAGTACTTATAACTTCAACTTCCTCGATTGACAGTTCGATTGTGTGTGTGTCAGTACTTATTATTGTAATAATCTTCCACACTGTATGGAGGAGCTCTTCTCGTTGAATTTAAAAGAAGGCTCAATACATATATATACAGTTTAGTCACATGACTTAATGAAAATAACAGAACTAAACAAACTCAATTAATACAACAATAAACAAATAAATGTATGACTAGTATTATCTAACATTCCCCCACAAACGAAGAGCTATTGAAGGCATGAGTTTGGTCTTCATAAACAAAAAACGATTACTAGTCAAGGGCTTAGTAAGCAGATCAGCCAGTTGCAGATGAGAAGAGACAAATAGTAAACTGATATCCTTTCAAACCACCCGTTCCCAAACATAATGAAAATCAATCTCAATATGTTTTGTTCGACCATGAAACACGATATTTTTTGCTAACTGAATAGCAAAAGCATTATCACAGTATAAAAGGGGTGGCCGAGAACTAATAATGCATAAGTCTTTGAGAAGTTGTCAAAGCCAAAAGAGTTCTGCAGTAGTAGTAGTCAATGTCTGATATTCAGCTTCAGTTGAGCTTCGAAAAACTGTTGATTGCTTCTTAGCAGCCCAAGAAATGGGATTACAACCCAGAAAAACCACAAAACCAGTGGTAGATCGACGATCAAGGCTATCACTTGCCCAATCCGGATCAGAATATGTTGTCAAACTGAGAAAGTGATGCACAGAAACGTTCTTGCAAAACAAAATACCAGAATCCAAGGTACCATTGATGTATCGCAACACCCTTTTTGCAGCAACAAGATGACAATACTTGGGAGCATGCATAAACTGAGATAGTTTCCCAACAAAAAAAAAAGCAATATCTAGGCGGGTAAAAGTAAGGTAATGCAACGCTCCAATAATCGCTCGATAGGCTTGAGAATCAACATCAGAACAAAAGACATCATCACCACCAGAAGAAGTAAAGGCCATAGGAGTTAAACATGCTTTAGATCCCAACATTCCATATCATGACAAAACATCACGTGCATATTTAGACTGAAGAACTGAGATACCAGTAGAAGAATAGCTAATTTCCAGACCAATAAAGTATTTTAAAACTCCCATGTCAGTCATTTCAAAACGAAGTCGAAGCTGAGAGACTAAATCCTCAATATAACTAGGATTACTTCCAGTAACTATTATATCATCAACATATAACAGTAAATGAGTAATATAATCATCAATATGCCGAACAAATAAAAAAGAATCAGCATGAGAAGCCTCAAAACCAAGAGTCAACAAATGAGATGTAAAGCACTCATTACAAGCACGGGGTGCTTGCTTTAAACCATAAAGAGACTTAAGGAGTTTCCAAACATAATTTGGGATGAGTGTTACTCACAAAACCTTGAGGCTGCTGCATGTAAACCTCTTCATGTAACTCACCATGAAGGAACACATTATTGACATCGAGCTGGCGAAGACACCAATTGAATTGGGCAGCAAGAGAGAAAATGATGCAAACAGTAGGCTTTTTCACCACAGGACTGAAGGTCTCTTCATAATCTATACCTGGTTCTTGATGAAATCCTTTAACAACCAATCTAGCCTTATACCGAGCCACACTACTATCAGGATTATGTTTAATTCAATATATCCACTTACACCCAATTGCTCTCTTTCCACTAGGTAAGATGTAAGGACTCAAGTGTTTTGTTTGATTAAGACAGCATACTCTTTAGACATAGCAGTTTGCCAACAAGTTAGCTTTCAGGCAGCAGTATAAGAGGTAGGCTCAATTGAGGTACTCAAATTTGAAGTGGCAACAAAAACCCTACGTTTTGAAATTCTTGACTTGCTACGGGTCTGCATAGAGTGATTATTTCGAGTACCAGCTTCAGGCATTGAAACACTAAGCATAGGCACTTGTGGAGGAATCAGATAGGATGCAGAAATAGGAGAAACATCCAAAGCATCAGTTGTATCCGAAATTTCAGATTCAGCAGTAGATACCTCATGAGAGACAGATGTACCATGAGAAGCACTAGAGGAATACACAGAATCACTAGCAGAAGTGGTAATCACAAGAGAACCAAAAGGTGAAGATGTTGAAGGAGCACCAGAGTGGTAGTTTGGAAAGAACAAGATATAGAGAAGTGAAAGAAAAGAATCAGTAGAGGGAGAGACAAGGGGTGAGGTAGTAGAAGTGTGGGGCAAGCTGTTAGCAAAAGGAAAGATAGATTCATCAAAATAACATGCCAAGATGTGTAGAGGCGGCCATTGTTGATGTTGTAGCACAAATACCCCTTGTAGTCTAGTGGATAGCCAAGGAAGACACATTAGGAAGTTTTTAGTTGAAGCTTATGGGAGGTATAAGGCTTTAACAAAGGATAGCAGGCACATCCGAAGATTTTAAGGATGGAATAGTAGGGGAGTGTCGAAACAGAATTTCAAAAGGAGACTTATAGTTTAAAGATGGAGAAGGAAGACGGTTGATACGGAAAATAGCAGTAAAGAACGCAAACGACCAGAATTTAAGAAGGAGGGAAGACTTAGAAATAATGGTGAGGGCGACCTCAACCACATGATGATGTTTATGTTCAGCCATGCATTTTGTTAGGGAGTATATGCACATGATTTTTTATGTAATATGCCATGAGTATGAAGAAACATGACAAGATTATGATTAACGAACTCACCGCCTCCATCACTTCTGAAGATTTTAATTTGGGAGGATAGAAGATTTTCAACAAGAGGTTTGAAGTGTTGAAAAATAGTACAGACATCAGACCTTTTAGCAATTGGAAATAACCAAGTGTATTTAGACATATCATCAACAAAAGAGACATAGTAATTGAAGTCATTTATTGAAGTTTAAGAAGTAGGGCCCCAAACATGGATACAGTAGTAGGCTTAGAAAAGGACAACTTATGCATTTTACCATGAAGACAACACACACAAACACATTTAGAGGCAGTATAGGGAGGTAAATGCATAGTATGAAGAACAGAGGAAAAAACAGAGTCACTTGGATGGCCTAACCTATCATGCTAGATAGAAGAGGAAGTTCGAGCACCAACATAAGCAACATTAGGTCGAGAGGATGAAGGAACATGAGCTGTAGAAACAACAGAGCGAATGGGATAAAGCCCATTAACACTGGGACCTTGAAAAGAATCCGACCCGAAGATTTGTCCTGAATGAGAAATTGATCAGCATAAAAAATTATGATACAATTGTTGTCAAGACATAATCGGTGAATCGAAAGTAAATTGGAAGAGATATCAGGGACATATGAAAGATGTTTTAACGAAAAAGAAGTCAGAGAAGAATTTAAAGAGCCAAAGCTTGAATGTGTAATAGGTAACGATTGACCACTTCCCACAGTGACTTGCTCATCCCCAATATATTCAGAGGCACTATTTAGCTGTCCAGAGGTGATATGAGTGTTGCAACCTAAATCAGTAAGCCAAGTGCCAGAGGATGTAGGATAGGATGCAGTCATGGCAGCATAATTTTGAGCAGCTACCATTGTAGCCAGCTGCGTAGGAGGATGTCTACCCTAAAAATTGTGGTTCATCTTATTGTAACAAACAAGTGCGGAATGACCAGTACGCCCACAAATTTGACAAACTATCTTGTGAAGTTGAACATCAGAGGTAGATCTATTTGGTTGAATACTAAGAGGTAATGGAAAGACATGCCCTCAGCCATTACTAGAATTGACCTAAGGCACATATTTGTTTCGATTGTTAGGGGGAAATTGACCTATTCCACCACCATTGAAATCACGACCACGGGAAACATTAGGGTTCAAATTTTGCCCTTTAGTAGCAGTATTTGCAAGAAGAGTGGCTGACTGAACAAAAACTTCATCCCATTTGAGTTGCTTTTCAAGAGCGGCTTCTTCAGATACTAGAAGAACATTGAGTTCTTCAAAAGAAATCGATTGGAGTGGTTACACATGGAAGTACGAAAGGTATTATACTCAGGTGGTAAACCATTTAGTGTATATATAATCATATCTTCAACATCAACAATTATAGATACGTTCGCAAGCTTATCCTTTAACTCTTTGATGCGCTGATTGTACAAATCAATAGACTCATCATTCTTATTGGAAATAGATTGGAGATTAGACTTTGAGACTAACCACATTTGTGCGTGATGTGGAAGAGTAATGCTTCATCAAGGTCTCCCAAACTTCTTTAGATGAAGTGCATCCGACTACATATGCAAGGGCAGTTGGTGATAAGGTAGCATTGAGAAGAGTCATTAGGGCATGATTTTGGCAATCCAATCGCTATAGGCAGGATTGATTTACAGCGAAGTAGTGGTCGAACTTGATTGAGAATAATCAAGAAATTCATTAGGTTTCGGTAAGGATCCATCAACAAAGTCATACAGTTTATGAGCTATAAGAATCGACGTCAATTGGAACTTCCAGAGGACAAAATTCGTGGAATCGAGACGTAATGAAACCAAATTATAGATATTCGATAGTAGGAATATCGCAGAAGACAAATCTTTGGGCGTAGTCGTCGAAGATTCTGCCATTGACGAAGAGAAGAAGCAAGACGCGTATTAGAGAGAAACTGCAAGAAGCAGACGCATGGAATGGATTAAGACGCTAAGTCAGAGGCAATCTGATACCATGTAATAATCTCCCACATGGTATGAAAGAGCTCTTCACATTTAATTTAAAAGAATGCTTAATACATATATATACAGTTTAGTCACATGACTTAATGAAAATAACAAAACTAAACCAACTCAGTTAATACAACAATATACAAATAACCGTATGACTAGTATTAACTAACAATTATTTATACTTCCTCGATTGACGGTTCACCTACTTCCTCGATTGACGGTTCGATTGTGTTTGTGTGTCAGTAATTATTACTTCTACTTCCTCGATTGACGATTCGATTGTGTGTTTGTGTCAATACTTATTATCGATTATGTGTGTACTTATTACTTCTACTTCCTCGATTGACGGATCGATTGTGTGTCTGTGTCAGTACTTATTATCGATTGTGTGTATGAGTGTGTTTTCCAAGGGGTTCGAGATTGTCGAGCCAAGACCACAACTGACCAATCCAACAATGGATCTCAAACATTCATCCCGTCTAGGGAACGACCAACTACACTTAGCTAAAATCTAGGTACGGAGGTATCGACTCAGCACAAGCATCTCCGATAGGAATAACTGAAATTCGACATGCTCAGCCGCTGGTCGGAAGTTCTGTCAGATACCCAAACCTATAAATAGGGAGCCCCACCCTACAATCAGGTACCTCATTTTATCTCAATCTTAATATCAAGGTTGATCTCCTTACTAACTTTGAGTGTTGGAGTGTTTGATTCTTGTACAGGTCTCCTCCTCGTCGAGAGATCTCTCTACTCGCTTTAGTCTACCTTAGCTCACTCAAGTAGTTCTTCTCGACCTGATTGGTTGAGACCGTACACTTTGTTGCACAAACAAAATATGTATATATGAAACTTTAGATGAAAAAAAGATTGTATTAAATCTTTTAACTTTGTACCATACTTAAAATAAATGGTTTAGGTGAGTTTTTTTTTTTTAATTTGGGTTGAAGTTTTATGGTGGAGACCTATTCATTATTTTGATTTTACTAGTTTGTTGCATCGTAAGTTTATACTTTTCAATTATTTTATTTTATAATAAAATAATCTTGATTGTTGTATATATTGCAAATGACATATTTATTTTAGTATGCAATATTTTCTTTTACAATAATATAAATGATATCACGGGCAAAAGTACGAATCACATCAATATTAATTATTAATTAATATGATATCATTTATATTTTATTAAAAAGTTATATTACTTTATGTATTTTTAATTTGAAAAAGTGTCAAGATTAAATCTTTTATGTATTTTAAAATATGTTACTTATTTTTAAAATTTTTTAAATATAGTACAAATTTTCACTTATATTAGATAGTCATATCATTAGTAT